TACAGCGAAGGTTGAGGTTGTAGATCAAACATTGCAAGCTAGAGATCAAACTCTTCGCGACTTAAGATCTCAACTTCAACAATCCCAAGCCAGAATGATGTCTGCATATGATAAGGGTAGAATGGAGAGGGAATTCATAGTTGGTGATTGGGTATATCTGTGCCTACAACCATATCGACAAACTTCTTTGGTGTTCTGCAGGTCACAAAAGCTTTCACCATGTTTTTATAAGCCTTATCGGGTGTTGGAGCGAGTTGGTGCAGTAGCTTATCGATTAGACCTACCTCCGGGAACAAAGATTCATCCTGTGTTTCATGTCTCCCTCCTTAAGAAGCAGCTGAGTGTTCGAAATACGGCAGACTCAAGCTTGCTGATTATGTCAAAAGATTCAGGATTTCTGCAGCCTCAACCCACGGCGATTCTGAATAGTCACCAGAGAGGCCGTCAACGTGAACTACTAATCCACTGGCAAGGTCTTCTAACTACAGACGCTACGTGGGAAGAAGAAGACTCTTTCAAAGCAAGGTTTCTTGATTTTACTAGTCCTTGAGGACAAGGACCCTTTTCAACAGGGGAGGAATGTCACGTGTCTGCATTATGGTCCTTTTAGATTTCCATTATTTTAGTTGTTAAGTCATCTTGTATATATCGTAAGTAGAGTCAGTCAAATGTTTTATTTCTTTAAGTTGAGTTGGTCAACATGTTCTTTAGCCACCACTCTTTAGTTATTTAGTTGGGTATCTGATAGCTATTTAGTTGCTATTAGTGGGTATGTGGTGCTGAGTCGTGCTTATGTTTGTAAGTTTATAAATTCTATAGATCATGAGTAATAAAGATATCAGAGAAAATTCCAAAACTTGTTCCTTAAAGTATATTGTCCATTTTTTCTTTCTTTTGATTAAATCCTGATCAACAACATAGCTCAAGGTAGAGGACGGGGTCATGACATTTTGGTATCAGAGCTAGGCATGGCCGAAGATCAACGGCTTGAAGGACAGGTGGAGAGCTTGAGTGCAAGTCAGGAAAGGCTCATTAAACAGATGGAAGAATTAGTGTTAGCAATGAACTCCTGATTGAACGTGTCGGAAGAAGGTTCCATCAGTAGGAATCGAGGACCACGAGGATAGGGTGGTGTCGGGGATGTAGGTGGAATGGTGGTTAATTAATGTTAGGATCCCACATTGAAAGGGAAAATGGTGGGCATATGTGGGTTATAAAGGCTTGGGCACTCTCCTTTGGCAAGTAGGTTTTCCAAAGAGAGTTTTACCCAAGCCCATAAAAGACCCATGGCCCAACCCAAATTGTTGAGTTATTGGAGTGAGTTCCTATCAATGGTATCAGAGCATGATCCTACGCACGCGTGGCAGGTTGACCTTGGGCATGAGCTACTACCCCAAGGAAAGGAGATCCGCGAAGTCACTCAAGGGGTAAGAGGCCAACGTGGGGCCCACACAGTATAGCCCAGTAGGCCCCCCGAGGGGTCGAGAAGGAGAGTTGTTGACAGACTTCTAGGCGAAGTAAGACCCAAAGGGAGGGCAGTAAAGGCCGATGAGGGCGGGCGCTCTTTGGAAAGAAGACCAACGAGAGCATTGGGTCTCGAAGCGTGGGATATATGTATATATTCTATTCCACCATTTTTCCAATTATACAGCTTAATTTTGTTTTCTCTTGTTGAATATTTTGTTGGTCTATGCTATAAAATTTTGGTTAGGGTTTAATGCGTTTTATTTGTATTTGTAAATTTCTCTGAACATAGAATTAATCAATTACAACATAGTTCATTTTATTTTTAAATTCTTTTACAAGTTTTATAAATTCTATAAATTTTACCTGTTTAGAAATATGAATTAATTATAAATAAGTAATTGATTGATTTGAACTCTAATATTTTTTTTTCCTAAGACTGAATTGAATGCATCAGAGTTAATTTAGAGTTTTAAGTTTCACTAGTTTGAAGGAATATTTTATTTAGTTGCTATGTTAACTTACGGACATAAGTTGGTTTGGTTGTACTAAGGCTTCATTTGGCTTACATTTGGGAATACTATTATTAGTATTCCCAATAAAGTTAAACAGTAAAATTGTAAAAACTCACAATATTATTCAACTTTTTTTAAACCCCTTAAATTTGTTAATTTAATTAAATACCCCTAAATATTTTTTTAAAAATTGCAAAAAAACCCCCAACAACCCATATTTACCAGATTCCGGCCACCACCGCCGGAAAATGGCCGGAATCTAGTATAATGGCGCACTACTAGCTGAATCTGGCCTGTAATGTGTCGAAAAAGGCCAGATCTAAGGCCAAAGATCTGGCCATTGACGACCAGATCTTTGGCCGTAGCCAGTCGTCAACGACGGCCAATAGATGGTCATTGTTTACCATCAACGACGGCGATATCGCCAGATCTGGCCGTTAATGGCTAGATCTAACCATAGATCTGGCCTTTGCCGGCCAGATCCACCGTGGATCTGGCCAGAAAAGGGTATATCGGCGCACGACCGACAAGATCCAGTTGGTCATGCATCTATACGACGACTCTGGGCAACCCTCTGGCGGTGGTGGCCGGCTGTCCATATTTAATGGGTAGGTTGGAAGTGTTTTTGTTAACTTTTAATGTTTTATTATAGGGGTGTTTAGTAAAAAAAACAAACATATGGGGTATTTTTATCAATTTCTAAATCCTACATTGTAATACCCACCCAATTCAACTTTTTTTAACTTTTTTTAAAAAACTTTTTTAAAAAGTGTAAAAAAGTGAACCAAACGAAGCCTAAGTACTTCGTTGTTCTGTTTTGCTGTAGGTCAAATCAAATATATTTAGTTTTTTTAATTCCCTGTTACTTATACTTTGATTGATTAATATTTTTTTTAGTTAATAATATTTTTTGTACATATACCCTTTTTTCAGTTTTGAGACATGGAAGTAAAAGATTTTGGTAAAGTAATTGACCAACCATTATTAAGTTATATAGATAATACTTATGAACTTGAAGTACCACATGAGCGGAAGCCAAAAGTAGGTCAAGAATTTGCATCATTAGATGATGTACATGATCTTTACAACATATATGCTTAAGAGGCTAGATTTAGTGTTAGAATTAATTCAAGCAAGAAGAACTAAGAGACGAATGTCATAGTAAGGAAGGAGTATGTGTGCTTTAAGGAAGGAACAATAATGAAAGGAGAAGTTAGTGAAAAAAAGAGATGTCATGGGATAGTTAGAGGGGGTTCTAATGCAAAGCTTGCTGTGGTGTGGACAACATCTGGGAATTATGTTGTTAGTATATTTGTAGAAGCTCATAACCATTCCTTGACAACCCCAAGAAAAGTACATCTATTAAGATCTCACCGTAATGTTTTGGTTGCCCAAAAAACTTTGACTCAGAAATTTTCAGCAGCAAATGTTCCTATGCATCAACAATTTAGCACCCTATAATTAAAGGTGGGGAAAATAGAAAATATTGGATGCACACAAAAAGATATATAACACCATGAAAGGGATTTGAGAAATGGAATGAAAGGACATGATGCAGAAATGTTATTTGAGTATATGCAAGATGAGCAAGAGAAGAATTCTTCTTTCACTTTCACCATATAGGTAGACAATGAAGAACAAATTACTCATTGTTTTTGGGTTGATACAGTATCTCATTGTGCTTACAAGTTTTATCATTTATGGCGATGTGATTGTATTCGATTCCACCTACAACACCAATCGGTACGGGATGATTTCGCTCCTATTTTAAGAGTTAATAATAGTGGTCAAACAGTGCATTTTCTTATTCAATCTTATCTGATGAAACCATGTATTCTTTTATCTAATTGTTTGATAAATTTAAGAAGGTAATGTCAAGTGATCCATCGAAAAATGGTCATTATTTTCCAAGAAGAGTTTTCTACCCTTAATATATATATATATATATATAATAAAGCTACAGACACCGGCATTTTTGCACCGAAAACGTATACCGGCCTAGGTGTCCCTCTGACTCACACCACGCGTGATTAAACTATAATTATTTTTCTAGTGAACGGTCGTCCATCAAATATGGACAGCCGTTCACTTACATGGACTCCCGTCCATATTATATGGACGGGGGTCCATTTACTACGGACGGGCGTCCCCATTTAAAGGACGCCCGCCCATAAGTAAAATACAATAAAATATTTTTATAAAAATTAGGAACGGCCGTTCATCCTTTATGGACAACCGTCCATTTATTTTGGACGAACGTCCACAAATAAGGGACGCCCATCCTTAACCCAAATATGAAAATTAAAAAAAAAAAAGAAAAATTGGGGACCCTGTCCATAAATTGTGGACGGGCGTCCCTTACGTTTGGATAGGCGTCCATAAGGAATGGACATCCATCCCTTATTGTATTATGGTTATGTACAAGGACGCCCGTCCATACTTTAAAAAAAAAAAAAAATTGTAAACAAAAATAGCAAGCCCCTCTTCTTCTTCGTCTTCATTCCCCATCTTCTCTCTTCTTCTTCGCTCTTCTTCTTCGTCCACCTTTGTTCAAGTGCCCAGCATTATTGTCTGAAACACCTTGTCTCTCAATACGAAACTATGCGATGGAAACATTGAAAGTCACGTTGATTGGATTACACTTACTGAGGTCCATAAAATGTTGTTGTCGAGTAAATTACAGATTTCGTTGTTATGAAGTATCTGTATGAAGTAGCAGTTCGATTTGCCTGACGAGATTGCGGCCGTGGCGGCTGTCAAAACCAATTGACTGAATTTGCATTGACACGTCCTGTAAGTCTAGCAAGGAACAGTACAAAATTTGATCGATGTCTGAACATATCAACCATCAAAAAAGATTTTTCCTGGATATATATACTGGGAGAATACCATTATAAGGAATTATGTTTTATTACTGGCTGTGTCTAGATTTTGTCGTGTATTCAAAGGAGAATTTGGTTTACACTAAAATTTTTCCCTTTCTTATTTTTTCATTCTCTTTTTCTGATGAAGTTTCTCAGNAAACACTCCTGGAATCTGCCTACGGTGCAACAATCTAGCTGCAGCACCAGAAAAGTCAGCATCAAAATTCAGCTGCACCAAAAAAATTCTGCATTTTCTCCAAATCCAGCCAATATGCAAATTTAAATTCAACAATATTTGAAATTTCAATCACTATTCAACAGCCAAAATACAAATAGAGTTGTACATGAGAAATCACCATAATACAACGTAAGAGGTAAAATGAAACCACATTACTCATGTAACACCCATATTAGTCCTAAACAAACTACAAGAGGCACACATGCTTGGGTATCCAGCAATCCTGCAATTATATAACAGAAGCCGTGTTATTTATCAATAAATGGAATAAAAATAGTAAAATAGTCAACAAAATGGATAATTACTAAGCTTTTACCTTCAAGCTTTATCTTCATTTTCTTGCTTTTGCAATTTCTTCTCTTTTACTTTACGAACAATTTGTTCAACCTTTGATTACTTTCTTTTGAATGGAGGACGACCTTTGCTGCGAATAGCTCGTGGAGTAAGAATATGACTGTTCCCCTATTTTGAAGCACCATCAACATTGTCACATTTCGTTCTACTATGAGCTGACAAGTTTTCTCTTTTATGATGTAAACAGAATACCATAAATAAAAGATACATTGTGTCAAACATTTGCTCTCTAATTAGCATGCATCGACATTCAATGATATATTACTAAAACATAAATTCGGTCAAAAATTTACTTAACCTATGCTTTACAATTGCTACGGTGTAACACAAAGTTTTGGCAAAACAAAACTTACTAAGGGCAAGCACAACATTTGCAACATGAGCTACCACATCATTAAATGATTTGAAGAAAATTTTGGCTTTGAAAGAGAGTTTGTAAAATCATAATGTGCGAAAGATAACCTAATTCTCAATAAGCTATATGCCATTAGTATTGACTTAGGAGTATGCAAATTGATTTCATCTTGAAATTCCACAGCTAGATCAACTCGTAAAGTTCAAGAAGACGCTTGCATTTTGAGTCTCAGTTAACTTTCTTCCCAAGCGAGGAGGAGCTGGACGCTTCAGTGAACGTTTGACTACTTCTGCACCTCTACAACACATACAAATGAAGCAGACATGAGGCGTAGTTCTTAAACAAAACAAACAAATTTAAAGGTATATAGGAGAAAACAACAGTTGAACAGAACTCTATACTAATAATTCCCATGAATATAACCAGATTATCGATTTCATGACAAACACCGAAACTGCACACCTACTTTGTAGACAAGTAGTTTTACAATACATAAAGAGCTTTTACAATACATAAAGAGCTATTAACCCATCTTCAGCAGCATACATATTGGATAAACTTGTTTTCCCAATTGCATACATTACATGATTTATTATGCAAATGTATAGATAACATAGTACAGGGCACTCACCCAAGATTTTTACAAAGCTAAAATCCTATAACTTCATAGACATTCTCCTAAAGTTAATGTTCTAACCAAAAAAAACCTGTGCAAACTATCTACCAATATCAAAATCCAAGCAGCAATATTCAAATCACAGGAAAAATAAACATAAGAACAAAATTAGGAACATGTTACATGTATTGTTACAAACGATTTTCCAGCTTTTTTGCGCGGCTCATCCATGTAGGTTCCTATTCTATCAAATCCTAAGTTTTGGAAGTACACACAATAAGAAATTAACTCACTAACCCAGCCAACAAAAACAAACGACAAACATAATAGGGCAAACATTATTATAAATTCCTGTTTTTTATACATGAATCAATGAACAAAAGCACCATAATAAAACCATTTTCAAGAAGAAAAAAATTACCTTCAGCAGAAGCAGCTGAAATTTTCCTATAAAGCACTACTTGGTGGGGAGGTCCGCCGTTCAGGGTGTTGCAGCGGTTGGGAGTGGTGGTCGCGCGGTTGATATTGGTGGTGGTATTGAAGGCTTCGGTGCTCAGCGGCGGTGGCTGTGGTGTTTGAGCTCCGGTAGTATGCGGTGGCAGTGGTGTGCCTGTGCTTCGGTGCTCCTCCGCATGCGGTGCTGGGGACGTCGGCCGTTCAGGGTGTTGGAGCCGTTGAGGGCGGTGGTCCCGCGGTAGGATTTGTATCCACAAATTGGGAATTTTAGGTTTGAATTTTTATTTTAATGTTGAGGGTATTAAGTAACGTGGCCCACATGCCACGTCAGTCTGTAGGATGTTAAAGATATTTTTGCTTTAAACCTTTTTTTTCCTCTTTGGGCCCCACAGAGATTCTTTTTGTTAGAAACCTTTTTCCTCTTTAGGCCCCGAGATATTTTTTTATAAACCTATTTTTCCTCTTTGGGCATCCCGGCCCTCTCTCATTATATAAGATTTTCTTCTCTTTACATCATTTCAAACAATTTGAGTATCACCTGTAGCCAGAACTGACTTCACATTTCTCTCTCTGTTGTAATTATTTCCTCTATCTCACACAGAAATGGAGATGAGCAGCAATGCGGCGTCGTCTGTGAAAGACTCGAAGAAGAAGAAGGTATCCTTTAGAGAAGCGAAAGGAAGGCTATACATTATCAGAAAATGTGTGGCCATGCTCCTTTGCTGGCATGAATAGTGAAGCAATAGAAAAATAGTTTTACTCTCTATTAAGAATTACCTGTTTCTTCTTCCGAAGGTAAATAGCAAAGAGAATTAATTAATAATATTTATTAACTCTCCTCTCTGCATGATTTTATTGTCAACTTGAGCTTTTTATGTACATGGAAATTACAAATATGAGGTAAATGCTTGATTTCAGGTTTACATGAATCTCTACATCATTTTAATCTTAATGGTTATGAGCATTATTATTCAACCAGAAAATTAATTAAATACATCAGAAAAATGGTTTTGAAATTGCATATATACATATGTATGAGAGACTAGATTTGGTTTTATTTAATCAAAATAGTCTATCACCACATTTATTTTGTTTTGTTTTTCTAGAATTGAAAGAAGAAAGCAAGATGATGAATGCCAAAATTATTGTTCGAAGTCACTTGCATGAGTACTTTACCCTGATCTAGTTCTACTTCAACCTTGCAAATCCCAATTGTGCTCCTATATAGTTATCTCCATTCTTTGAATCATGATATTGTTTTTCATGATCTCGACAATCTTCAACTTCTCAATCGGATCGATATAACTCATCCAATCAAGATGTCTAACCTCTAGTTGAGGTTCATCATCTTCAAAGAATCTAATGATTTCTTCTTAAATAAAAAATATCTTCAATTTCCTAATTAGATAATCTGATCATTATTGCTTCATCTTAAATGAAGATCTACAAATTTTTTTTGTTTGTTTTGTTGAATTACAAAATTTTGATATCCCACAACTTCTAAGGCTTCGGATGAATCTTCAAACACCTATTTTGTGTACAACTTCGAAAGCTTTAGTTAAATCTTCAACACTTCCTTTGTAGATTTTCATTAGAATGTCTCATACATTATATATATATTTCTTGATGTTTTTATGTAGGCAATCTCCTCAGAAGCACCTCCTTTGTAGATTTTCATTAGATTTTGCTTGTTTTGTTGGTATCACAAATCTCTGATCTACAACCTCCTACAGATCTTCATATTCCAAAAGAGTTGCATTTGAATTCTCAAAAACCCAAAATAATTTTTTCCATCAAATTGTGGAATATTTATAGGGAATTAAGAATCTTCAAAAATCCATATGTCGAATTGGCTCTAATCATTGTCTATCCTGCTTCTAATTGATCATCTAATGTTCCTTCTTACCTAACTTGTAATAATAAAAGTAGACAACTTTATGAAAAATGACATTTTCCCACCCTGAGTTTTAAAATATCACTTTCCCGCTCAAAGTTTATATTCAGTTACTACCCAAAGCTGATTCCGGTGATGAAAATTCTTTCCATCATCACCATTTGAACCTCTAGTCTCTTTTATATAAAACCCTTCCCACACCGGTACCTGATTTCTCGCCAATTGCTGGCCACCGCAAAAACTAAAGTTTCCTATGCTTACCTGATTTTCGGTTGATTCCAACAACGAATATTCAATCGGTTATCACCATTCGATCCACCAGCCTCAACTCTACAAAACCCCCCTTACCCTGACTCCTGATAACTCATAGAACTTCGGCTGAGAAAGTAAAATGTATTTTGAGTATTAATGAAATATAAACTTTGGGTAAGTAAGTGGTATTTTGAAACTTTTTGAGTGAGAAATTGAGAAATTGTCATTAAGACAAACCTTGAGTGGGAAAAAGTCGTTTACTCTAATAATAAATATAAAAATATAATTGTAGAAATTTGACTTACAAATGGAATGTAAAACTTGTATTCTATAACGTGAAACTTGTAAACTTCAAACAATGTAAAAGTTATTAAATAATACATATAACTTGTAACAATGAATGTAAGGATATTAACAAAAAATATTATTCGCACAAAGCTAAAATCCTATAACTTCATAGACATTCTCCTAAAGTTCATGTTCTAACAAAAAATAACCTGTGCAAACTATCTACTAATATCAAAATCCAAGCAGCAATATTCAAATCACAGGAAAAATAAACATAACAACAAAATTAGGAACATGTTACATGTATTGTTACAAACAATTTTCCAGCTTTTTTGCGCGGCTCATCCATGTAGGTTCCTATTCTATCAAATCCTAAGTTTTGGAAGTAAACACAATCAGAAATTAACTCACTAACCCAGCCAACAAAAACAAACAACAAACATAATATGGCAAACATTATTATAAATTCGTGTTTTTTATACATGAATCAATGAACAAAAACACCATAATAAAACCAGTTTCAGGAAAAAAAATTACCTTCAGCAGAAGCAGTTGAACTTTTCCTATAAAGCACTACTTGGTGGGGCGGTCCGCAGTTCAGGGTGTTGCAGCGGTTGGGAGTGGTGGTCGCGCGGTTGATATTGGTGGTGGTATTGAGGCTTCGGTGCTCAGCGGCGGTGGCTGTGGTGTTTGAGCTCCGGTAGCATGCGGCGGCGGTGGTGTGCCTGTGCTTCGGTGCTCCTCCGCATGCGGTGCTGGGGACGTCGGCCGTTCAGGGTGTTGGAGCCGTTGAGGGCGGTGGTCCCGCGGTAGGATTTGTATCCACAAATTGGGAATTTTAGGTTTGAATTTTTATTTTAATGTTGAGGGTATTAAGTAACGTGGCCCACATGCCACGTCAGTCTGTACGATGTTAAAGATATTTTTGCTTTAAACCTTTTTTTTCCTCTTTGGGCCCCACAGAGATTGTTTTTGTTAGAAACCTTTTTCCTCTTTAGGCCCCGAGATATTTTTTTATAAACCTACTTTTCCTCTTTGGGCATCCCGGCCCTCTCTCATTATATAAGATTTTCTTCTCTCTACATCATTTCAAACAATTTGAGTATCACTTGTAGCCAGAACTGACTTCACATTTCTCTCTCTGTTGTAATTATTTCCTCTATCTCACACAGAAATGGAGATGAGCAGCAATGCGGCGTCGTCTGTGAAAGACTCGAAGAAGAAGAAGGTTTTGAAATTGGATTCCTGCATATATACATATGTATGAGAGACTAGATTTGGTTTTATTTAATCAAAATAGTCTATCACCGCATTTATTTTGTTTTGTTTTTCTAAAATCTCAAATAAAACAAACTTCTGATTCTATCAATGGGTTGTGAAAGATTAAGGGTGGAGGTATTTAATTGAATTAGAATTGAAAGAAGAAAGCAAGATGATGAATGCCAAAAATTATTACTCGAAGTCACTTGCATGAGTACTTTACCCTGATCTTGTTCTACTTCAACCTTGCAAATCCTATACAGTTATCTCCATTCTTTGAATCATGATATTGTTCTTCATGATCTCGACAATCGTCAATTTCTCAATTGGATCAATAAAGATGCCTAACCTCTAGTTGAGGTTCATCATCTTCAAAGAATCTAATGATTTCTTCTTAAATACAAAACATCTTCAATTTCCTAGTTAGATAATCTGATCATGATTGCTTCATCTTAAATGAAGATATACAAATTTTTTTCTTTGTTTTGTTGAATTACAAAATTTTAATATCCCACAACTTCTAAGGCTTCATATGAATCTTCAACACCTCTTTTGTGCACAACTTCGAAAGCTTTAGTTAAATCTTCAACACCTCCTTTATAGATTTTCATTAGAATGTCTCATACATTTTTTTTTTTTAATTTTATTTCTTGATGTTTTTATGTAGGCAATCTCCTCAAAAACACCTCCTTTGTAGATTTTCATTAGATTTTGCTTGTTTAGCTGGTATCACAAATCTCTGGCCTACAACTGCCTGCAGATTTTCATATTTCGAAAAGAGTTGCATCTGGATTCTCAAATACCCAAAATAATTTTTTCCATCAAATTGTGGAATATTTATAGGGAATTAAGAATCTTCAAAAATCCACATGTCGAATTGGCTCTAATCATCACCTATCCCGCTTCTAATCGTCATCTAATGTTCCTCCTTGCCTAACTTGTAATAATAAAAGTAGACAACTATTTCCCACCCAAGGTTTTCCTTAATGACAAATGACATTTTCCCACCCTAAGTTTTAAAATATCACTTTCCCGCTCGAAGTTTATATCATGTTACTACCCAAAGTTGATTCTGATGATGAAATTTTTTTCTGTCATCACCATTTGAACCTCCGATCTCTTTTATACAAAACCCTTCCCACACCGGTACTTGATTTTTCGCCAATTTCCGGCCACAACAAAACTAGAGTTTCCCATTCTTAGCTGATTTTTGGTTGATTCCCACAACGAATATTCAATCGGTTACCATCATTCGATCCACTAGCCTCAACTCTACAAAACCCCCCTTATCCTGACTCCTGATAACTCATCGAACATCGGCTGAGAAAGTAAAATGTATTTTAAGTATTAACGAAATATAAACTTTGGGTGAAAAAGTAGTATTTTAAAACTTTTTGAGTGAGAAATTGTCATTGAGACAAACCTTGAGTGGGAAAAAGTGTTTACTCTAATAGTAAATATAAGAAATATAATTGTAGAAATTTGACTTACAAATGGAATGTAAAACTTGTAATCTACAACGCGAAACTTGTAAACTTCAAACAATGTAAAATTTATTAAATAATACATATAACTTGTAACAATGAATGTAAGGATATTAACAAAAAATATTATATCTATCTTTTTATAATAAACGTAAAGTATGGCTATAGTCAAAATTTTATTTGCAAAATGAAACATTAAACTTGTCATATTTTATTTTTATAAGTTTCCTTATGTTAATGTGATTTTTTTTTATTCGCTTTATCATTTTTAGAGAAATTATAATTTATTAATAAAGAAAATATAATCAATAAATATTAAAATCTGAAAGTTTCAATATTTATTATTATGCTCTTTCACTTGAATTCCTGGCTCCACCAGTGTATATAAGTAGCGTAACTCTTATAAATATTAACGCAACACTTGTAATAGTTTACATTTTATTTATAAACGAAACATAGAACTTGTAATAGATATAACATAAAATTTATTACCGAAATAAGAATATAAAAAACTATTAAATATGTTATAAAATTATTTTTATTAAATGATTAAATAATTTAAAAAATTAATTTTCTTATTATTGAATATTGAAATAACAGGTACAGTTTAGTAATGCTAATTATTATAACATAAAATTTATCATTTATCAATTTACAATTATAATTATATATTTACTCAATTTTTTATTTAATAAATCTGATTTTTTTTTTTTATTATGGATAAAACTTTAAATTGTTTACTTCAAAAATAGATAGAAACAAATATTATTAAATTAAGAGAGGCTGTTTTATTCGTATGATGTATAAGAGGGCATTTTTGAAGAATTTCAAAACTATTGGATTTGTTTGAATTCAATGAACATTTGGGTCCTTAGTAAATTCATTAAGCATATAAAACTAGAATGTGGTCCATAATTTGCCAACAAAGTTTGAGCACTTTTACGAATTTTAATTCTACCACTCTTTGTTACATCAATCATTCAAAAATTTTCAGGATAATTCTGATTAATCTCTTGTAGATTGACTAATTATAGATAAGTTGATACACACCTGTTGTCTCTTTCATTATTTTTTCGATCAAACAAGGGATCCATTTTGGGTGGTTATCTGCTCCGTAATCATTCACATATGCATGTATGTACCCTTTCACCTATAGATACAGCCTGGGCAGTCAAGGATGGTCACTTCAATAGTTATCTCAATATATCATCATTGTTCTAAAACCTGGGTTGGCCCGGCTGGTTTAATCGGTTAGACTTGGATTCTCCGAGCCAGGTTACCGCTTTCAACAGTTCCCCAAATTCCTAACTTGATCGCCAGCGAATGAGGGGCAACCTAGTGGGTTAGAGGGGTTTTGTAGAGTGGAGTTCATTGATTCAAGGGGTGATGTTGGATTGAATTTTGGATGATGGAATCAGCTGGAATGTGGTAAGAAAAATTAACCCAATCACGGCGATATACTCAAGTCACAAGGGGCTACCAAGTGCCGAGACTAGAGAGATTTTGTAGAGTGGAGGAGGTCGGTGGTTTAAGTGGTGGTATATGATTGAATTTTGGCCATCGAAATCAGCCAGAATTTGGCTAGGAAAAGCGAAATTCTAACTATCCAAGGGTGTGTTTGCTGGATTTCAAAGTTGCAGGGACTAATCGTATTTATCAGGGGTGTGTTTGTTAGATTTTAAACTTGTTGGATCACCACTAGACCGCTAGTTTAACTGGTTTAACCGGTCAACCCGAGACTCGGGACCCAACCCCTTGGTCGGGTGACACCTCGGGTCAGGTTTCTAAACATTGATATATCCATTAAAAATTGCAATATCAATTTTTTATCAAATCCAACGAGCTTTGTGCAAATTATATATATTTTTTTTGTTTAGTGTGGCACAAAAACAAAATGATTTTATTTATTTTCATTTGCTTTCTAAAATAACCAATTTTTGTTTCCCAATATTTCTTACTAAAAAACTGAGAAAATAAATATTGAATATTGCCATGACCTAAGGTAAACATCCATTATTGATATATCAATAATTAAAAGCATATTTTGGTCAAATATTTTTAATTTGATCCAAATATAATAGTAAGATCACAATGAATGCTATGAATTTCATAAAACATTGAAATATTTATTTATAGGTTATATATTATGGTTTAACTTGAAAATACTTCATTTTTGTGTTAGCTCTATAAAATATTTATTGGCTTTAAAACGTAACCACCCATCAGGTTTAGTGTAAGTGAACCAGTCCCACAGGTTTAAACAAATAACATTACAAATCCGGACATTATAATATAATGACATTTTCATCCAAAATATAACCACCGGTAGTCTAATCGTTATCTAATACACAAAATTTGACATAAAGATACAAAAATCGTTTTGTCTTATCTAGTTATAAATAAAATATAAAAAATAATTAAATACAATAAATATAAAAAATCCGAAAAATGTTTGTCATAAAAATTATATTTTTTATCTAATAAAATTACAGCAATAAGTGTTTAAATTAGAGAAAAATATTTCTTATAATGTCAATTAAAACAAAACCCATTTGTATTGAACATCTTTATTAAATTGAAATTATATTTTAACTTGGAGTAACTTACAGTCAAGATTATGTAAATATCGAAACCAACTTAATTGTTGGTTTTGGAGAATTTAACATTATAATAGCTTTCTGCAGAGGAAGCAAAATACATTACTTATGAGTTATACCACTTTCCCACCCAAGTTTCAAAATACCACTTTCCCACCTAAAGTTTAGATTCCGTTAATACCTAAGATACACTTCACTTTTTCAACCGGCGTTTGACAAGTTACTAAGAGCCAATGCGAGAGGGGTTTGGTAGAGTGGAGGCCGGTGGATCGAATGGTGGTGATCGGTTGAATATTTGCCGCCCGTATCAGCAAAAAATCAGCTAAGAACATGAAATCATAACTTTGCAGTGGCTGACAATCAGCGAGAAATCAAGTGCTAGAGTTAGAGAGATTTTGTAGAGAGGAGACTAAACGTTCAAATGGTGGTGACTGGGACAATCGGCCAGAATCGACTTTGGGTAGTAACAAAATATTAACTTTG